CAACTTTAAAAGAAAGGACATATCACGCTAATAAAATATCCGAATAATAAGATAACCATAAAAAATTTGAAAATAATAAATGCGATAAAATTTTTATTCAATAAATTCACATATGCATGAAGGAACAAGCAACGTCACGGTTCCGGAAATGTTTTGTGCTCCTCATCAATTTTTTATGTACCTAAAATGTAATAGTATTAAAAAAAGCAATGGATTAAAAAGGAAAAATGAAATTAAGCAACAGCAATATTCTTCCACGATTTATATATAAAATGAGCATGATATTTTATAAAATTTATTGCAATAAAAAGATAAAAAGTGGATGAAGCTATCTAAATTTATAAGTGACTGATACAAATCAGAGAAATATTAGCATGATAACTAAAAAAAGTGATAGAACCGATTTGCATTTTTTCGCAATCGCATTTATAAATTAGTTCAACCGGAATTATCTGACCGTTCGATGTGAAGGAGAAGATAACTATATATGAATAAAATAGTTATATAATTATATATAAACATAACCAGTAAACGTATCCATGACTTACTGTACTTGTTGTCCAATAGTTTCATGCAACACCAAAAAATATATGTGGTAAAAACATAACTAGGATTAAAATTAGATATAAAAATGAGCAAAATAAAAAGCAGAAAACAAAAATAATTTTTCATCGCAACACTCCTGCATACCATCTTCAACAATGCAAAAACGAAAATAAAAAGTGAAAAAAACTGCAAGCTCATCAAATGCAAGAGTTGAGCTAATCTTTAAGATCAATCTCATCACACGTAACAGGTTGTTTCAGTGAAATCATCGATTTTTTCTCTGGATCTCTGGATAATGCCTTTCGCATATCTAAAAACATCATTATAATAAGTTGTTGCGAATCAATGTAGTTGAGAAGTCGATTAAAAGATTTCCAATAAGCAATTGTATCATTAAAGTACCTATTTCTCAAAAATTTGACAGAGATAATAAAACATGAGAACAGCTATAACCAGAAAATCACTTTATATGTCACTATATAAGATGCAAATTAAATTTACTTTAATCTTTTGAAAGGGCCAAAGCAAAAATTACACAAAATACACCTTAAATAATTTACTTATTAAAAAATTACAGCTTGATTGAAAAAAGAAATATTTGTGAGAAAGAAATTAAAAAATTAACCAACCATAAGCATCTTCATCATTTTCACCGGAATAATAATCAATAATGCGCCGATAGACCACATATCCAAGGCTTTTATACATATTGATTGCCACAGAATTACTTACACGTACGAAGAGATCAACAAAATAACATTTTTTCCTAAAATTTAATTTAGCAATAGAAATAAAATTCGGGTATAGTACCGGATACCACTGTTATATATTTAGGCAACCGAAGAAATTTACATCAAATTTCGCTGTTTTGCGTTTTTCCCATCACCATCTTTACCGAACTCAGATTAAAATGTTGATTATCACTGGTGATGGATGACGAAAGCAAAATGGATTTTATAGTTCTTTAGCAAATATAAAACATCTGTGTTTTAAGCATAAATAATTTTCTAAAATCTCCAACTTTTCTCTTTTCGTCGAATTTTTCATTTAATAAAAAAGTATGAGTAAAAAAAGTACATTTCTGAAATTTCTTCAAGAGCGTGCATCATTCGTGCCGCCAAATGTAATCGTCGATATGTTGGAGCGACAGTTACTGCAGTAACATGTCCATGCCAATATTCATGTTCTCCTTCCGCTTTCCCCATAACTGCAACTGATTCGGAAAAATATCAATAGTTCCTTGCATAGATATTATTTTATTATTATCATAAAGTTTTACAAGCTTAGAATCGTTAAGAACATCAAATTTAAAAGAAAAAAATTTCTACTTGTCTCCAAATATCTTTTTAATATAGCGAAGTCTCGTTTGACAAATTTCTACTTACTATCGTAACCAATCATATCGTAGTATACCCAATATTGCCGTACTGTAACTTTTTGACAAGCCCAATTACCTTAAGTCTCACTAGAGTATTTAAATGGCAGCCTTCCTTATTTTTTATAAGTGAATAACTGCAGAAAACCTACCATAACCCATAATTTCACCATTTGGATGTTCGCAAACTTGAAAATATTCACCATGGTTAATTAGATATTGCAAATAAAAAGTGAAACCGTACTGAAAAAATAATCCTTAAAACTTTGCAGTTGAAAACTCCTCAAAATCTGTCAATTATTTGAATTAATGACAGGTTGAAATGTGCAAATATTTAACTACATAATTACTTTATATCAGTTCCAAAAAGCTTAAAATTCTGAATGTAAGAGAATTAATTGTCATCATTATTCTCATCAATTTCCATAGTCCAATATTTGCGAATCCGAACAATCTTACGGACTTCAATTTTAGTCGAAAATAATAAAATACTTAAACAAAAAACATTTACTTAAAATTCTAAAGACATAAATTCTTTCAAGTGTTCTAAGATTTAAAACAAAAAAACATACTGTTTCTGTGAGTGGATCCAAATTCCTGAAAAGAAAAAAATACTTGAAAACTTTTTTGTGGAAGCATATTAACATAACGAAAAATAATACAAACTTCAAGAGTTTCACAAATCTGAGATAATTTATATTCTTATCTTAAAAGGTTACATGCAACAAATTATTGATTGTTGGTCCTTCTTATTCTTAACATATTTAACTTAACAACTAGATTTTCCTGCAACAGTTATACACGTTGTTTTTCACATGTACGTGAAAGCTTACGTATTATTAAATCGAAATAAGTCGAAAACATCAAACGGCCGAATTGTCGTCATATTTTTGAATCTAAAAATTAAAAAAAAATGAACAATATATAATGCGATTCTCATTTTTATATCAGAATTTTTTTTAACAACTTGCAAGCAATTTACAAGTTGCAAAATCCGAAGATAATAGAAGTAATTCAAAATATAAGACAATTCTTCCTAAACATAATTTTTCATTACATTCAGGGTAAAAAGTAATGTGAGTACAATTATTTCGACGGAAATATTTTGAAATGCTTTTCCGAAAATAAGCGGTGCGAATCGAGCGCAATGTCAAATATAAAATGGAAAAAGTCAAAATTATTTCATTAATTAAATTGGCATTGTCACAAATATTTAACAATCCACAATACAAGTGTCTTATTAGCTTTTTAATTCACCAACAATAGATTGAATATGCAAAAAGATGATTGCATTAACTACAAAACTATTAAGCCCACTAATAACAATGGTATAGTTGCTGGAACAATTTAATTAAGGCCTTAAGCTAAACATATACAATGATTTACTAAAATTCCGTAACAGACATAAGCATGACAAAATATTCAAAAATCATTAAAATGCTCAGAAATCATCTGGCTTATATTCCCGATACGGTATGCCAAAATTTCGGAATGCTGGAATGTATTTCTTCAGATAATACATCAATCTCCAATCCACTGCTTCGCCATCCGCTAGCTTTCTTGCGTCCAGACAATATCGATTGTAAATAACTATAACAAATGGTATTGTGAAAATAAATTTTATGCTTTTTGCTTCTTTCCGGCATCAAAAATGTCGGAAAGAAGTAAAGCCTATATTATGTTGATAAAATAAAGAAATATGGTTCAATGAAAACAACTACCTTAAAAAAGATCAAACTGGAGTGTAATTTGATCAGAACTTCGTACAATGAATGAGGTAATCCAGTCTATCCATTGTAAAGCAGAGTTAACAGAAAGCTTACCCAAAACTATTGATAAAATACCCACACCACAACAAAAGCTTAAGATTGGTGTCCTCACATTCTCTGCTCTGTATTGATCCGGATATTTTCTCAGAAACCATTCCGTTTTCATCTGAATTTGAACAAAATTTTATATCTCCAAATTAAAACAAACTTTCTTCAAAAAACAATTTATCGATTAACTTTAGTTACAGCACAAAAAAGTGGTCAAATGAGCATGACAGCTTTTGCTAAATCGTAAGAAAAAATGAAATTTCTGCATCATTTAACTCTATAAATCATTTCAAAATAATTTTCTGAGAAAAATGTAAGATATCACTCGGCGATTATCCATTTTCAAATATTATTATGGAAAAAATAATTAAAAATTTATTCCCATCAAATGAACAGCAAAATAAAATCATAGGAATCAACAAGCAATAGCAAAACCGTGTATCAATAGCAGATGAGATAAAAACAGCTAGGCTATTTTATCTTTAAGTCAAAAGATTAGGAAAGTACTGGATTAACTTATTAAACAATTTACTAATTGCAATACTTTACAGTGAGAAATGAAACATTAAAGAAAAGTGGACTATTAAACTGAAAAAAGAAATTAAACTGTTAGAAGTTTAATAACAACAGTTATACTCGAAAATTTTAATCCTATAAAAAAAAAAAAGAAAACTAGTTATGAGCTCTTCTCCAAATCATTTGTTACTTCGTCTTTGCAATGAATGCCAACTGATGTGAAGAAAGGTAATTTCTGTTTCAACCACATTACATGTCTCAAATCGTGTCGATCTTCTGCACTTACTGCAGTGAACTGATAAGAATAATATGCCACATGATACGCTAAATGTGAATTAAAATTAATTACTAGAATATTGAGTCGCTCTGAGAGAAACACAATAACAAAAAATATTTATATACATTTCTCGTACATTCATAGTTTCATAAAATGACAAAAAAAGCATCATCTAAGCAATTAATCAGCCATGAAATAAAATAATGATTATCATTTACCAACTGTAAAAGCGGCTATAGCTCTCATACAAAATGGTCCACTATTTTTTAATGCTTCAAACTGCAGAAACCACCGACGAACACGTGTATTATTGGGATACAATTGCCAGTAACCATAGTAATCCTCAACGTTGGAATTTTTATTTGAAGATGGCATTTAAAATTGTTCTGGGATTTCTGAAAAACAGTGCATTTTTGCTCCTCAACGTTAAAAGAAATGACTCTTCCAAGTTTTCTTAAATGATTTTGTTTAAAATTTCAAAATTGTAAGCTAATCTATATAGCTAGAACGTAACAACTTACGACTGCCAAACAAGTTGATAATACGGTTCAAGGAATTACGTCAAATGTTGCAAGATAATCTTTCCCACACTAAATCAACTTTAAGCTACAATTTTTATAAATTAATTCGGATTGAAAAAAAAAGGATTCCGATAAAATGAAATTACAAAAGCATTAACAACAACTCAAATTATAGCTTGAGTTGTTTTGGAAAATAATACTACATTCACTTTGGAAAATAATACTACATTACACCGAACTGCATTTATTTCAATGATTTCATACATATATGATACTGCATTTTAAAATCAAAAGTTTAACCTACCGTAAAAAGTTATTTATAAATCGTCTATTTATCATTAATCGTTTGTCTTCCAGTTCTTCTGGATTTATAATATTTGATACTGCCCAAAACTAAATAAATGATTCAAATTTCAAATGATTCACCCATTGCACATGTGAATTAAATTTCTCCAGTCATTTAGCAAAACTAAATACCACTATAAGCTGCCCATTTCAAGTATAAAACCATTCTAAATCAAATTTTCAATTCTTGACTAAATTAATTCATAAAATTCATTGATAAAATCGAAAAACTTCAGGCTGGAATTTTAATTTTCGATAACAACCTTAAAAAACTCTGAAAAATTGAAAAAAAGTTCATTCGAAAATACTCTGAAAAAATGATTTCTATTGCAATTGCAATTTTTTAGCTTCAAATTCAATCGTGTATTCAATTTAATTCATAAAAAATCCATCCAATTTTAAAGCAAAAACTTACGTGTAGCAATGTACAACGTGATAAAGATAATATTTTTATAACGTGGCCATGTGTTATACAAACGTGACTGTAAACGTTCGCTTAGTTTAAACATCAATCATCTATCGGACGTGAACTAACTAATTAATACCCAACTGAAACAAACATCCCGGCATTGCCAACACCTACCGAAAGAGGTAATAGCAGCGCTCTTTGTGTTTTGCAATTTTGCACGTTGGTCTGTACGATTTACAGTTTTGTGACAGTTTTATTTTTTGTTTGGGAAGGATTTAGGGGAGGTTTGGGAATTTTTGCAATCTGTGGATTTGCTTACGTTAAGCTGTTTTCGATGGATAACATTTAGGATGAAGTTTTAAAGTTCTGTTCTCTCAACATTGCATTCGTTATTGTGAATTGTGGTAATTTTAATTTTTTAGTTAGCAGAATGATTGTCCTCGTGTAAGATGTAATGCTAATTCAAATATGAAATCAAATCACTCATATATATATTTGAATATTTAAGATGTGAGGATCATTTCTAGCAGTGGAATTATTTTAGAGCCTAAGATTATTTCATTGTAGTAAGCTATAAAGGATTTATTGAAAGTAAGCATATGTTCTGATTGCATAATTGGAAAAGAAGCTATTGAAAGCTACAGCTTGCCTGATTAATGAATGTATTGAATGAGAATGGTTAAAGATTGATCTGAATGAGTATGACTTTTATATGGCTGACGTTTATGCTGCAATTAGAAGTGTTAAATAATAGAATGTATGGGTGAATTGAATTTAGTCTATTTTAGATCAAATTTTTATAATTTCTTTTTTTTTTCTTTTTGCAAAGCTGTCTTCAGTTTCACTCTTTATTTCTATTTTTGGGCATTTTTTTTCAAGTACCATCTGATTTCTGTTCTGGATGTTCTAACTTTTTAAAATGGACATGAAAATAATCGAAGGATGTTATATTCATACAGCAAGAAATACTACTTTCCAGATAAAAAAGAAACGTGAAATTTGAAATGGCTGTAAGCGGAGCGCAACAAATGGAATTGGATGATGTACAGCAACCTTCTGGTGCTGCAAGTATTTCTGCGAAAGAGAAGAAACGTTTTGAGGTTTTCTTCTCTTTCTTTTTATGTTTTTTTTTTTTCTTCTTCCCTCTTCTAGATGAGTTCAAACTATTTATTGCATAATTTCAATATTCAATTTCATGCGACATTGGACTGGGATTTGAGACATTTTATGTTGTCATCTTACTTTGCCCTTTATGATTATTTCAGTATTATTCCATCATTACAGATTTACTAAACTCTAATAAGTATGTGGACAACTCTTCCGGTTTATTTTTGCATTATTCGGAGGAGTTTTTTTAGGTGCGAAGCATTAAAAATGAAAACTTTGCCGAAATAATATAATTTAATGTGAAATTTCAGGTGAAAAAATGGAATGCAGTGGCTCTGTGGGCTTGGGATATAGTTGTTGATAATTGTGCAATTTGTCGAAATCATATTATGGACCTCTGTATTGAATGCCAAGCAAATCAGGTAAATTTGATTTTTTGGCAGCTGTGCGATTTTTTTTTTTTTTGTTATTTTGCCTGTTCAAAATACCTGATTAATCATTTACAGGCTTCAGCAACTTCTGAAGAATGCACGGTTGCATGGGGTGTATGCAATCATGCATTCCACTTTCATTGCATTTCACGTTGGCTTAAGACACGTCAGGTGTGTCCGCTAGATAATCGAGAATGGGAATTTCAGAAATATGGTCATTAGATGCCCGCTTTTAAAAACCGGTACTGTATTTTTGATCTTGATGCTTCTTTTGTAACCTTTTTACTGATATAACGTCATGTACTGATTTGAAAATAATTTTGATCTATAGCCATGAAATTCAAATGCTGTGCAGGTGCGGGATTACGTAAGTGTTGAATTCCAACTTTTGTTCTTTAACGAATCATGAGCTTTGTGGTCTAATAGGAATGCAAGATATTAGTATTTAATCGATCTCCAATTTCGTGCTTAAGTTTTAGGAAAGCAAAATACGCATATTGGAATTTTTCGATTTTTATTATGCCTTTACATAATACCTTCTTCTTGATGTGAATATTGGTGTTATGAATTGAGCACAACCTCTTTCATATCATGAATTATGTTTGATTGATTTTATAATTGCTTGAGAAGAAATGAATTCTTTTTTCTTCATTTTGACACTAACGATTTTCTTCACTTCATGGAGTTGAAGGTGAAGTTCTATTCCAAATATGATTAGCGTCAATTTTAAATGTAACTAAGATTAAAGTGTTGAATAATTGAAGTAAATGATAGAAAAATCGATAATATGCGTTGTACGTCATCGTGGAAATCCATGATGAGTAACCGACACTCGTGAGACTTTGCAATTCGTTTCTGCATCCTCATATATGATAGCAACGATATAATGGCTATTTTAGCAAACAGGCAACTTTTGGTTTGTTCAAGTTAAAATTGTTCTTTTAAAACTCGAGCAGCAAAAAATGAATTTGAAATTTAGACAAATTTGAATAGAATCTTGAGTTAGTTGAAAGCTTTTAAATTAGCAATTTCAAATATAAATCAGAATTTGCCTCCATAATTTGTAACACTTTGATAATTAATGATGCTGAACGGTTGGTTAGCAAGTTTTCAATGTTATGTGGTAATACTCGCAATATTATATCTTTCGGGATTATTTAGTCATATTGCGATTGATTGTTCAAGTACAGAGGTTACATTACCATTAGCAAACGAAGTTCGAGACCAGGCTAGTTTGTCGTCATACCTTTTTGTGATTACCATTTGCAGTGCTAATTGTTTTCATCAATAACTGCTCATTTTTCTTTATCATTCAAACAATTAATCTCGTTTGCAAAGATCACTTCTAAACTGTATTATGAGAGTGTTAGGTTTCATGTGGTTCATTTTTTATAAAATTTACTGAGGTTAATCTAAAATCGTTTCTAATTTTAATATTTGTGCCAACCGATTTAAAATTGTTAACGAATTTTAGTATTAGCTTTATAAAAGAATCAAGGTCGAATTTTTACTCTCGATCTTGTTGTAATTTGTATACTTAACTTGAATAATTCTTTAGTGTTCAATAAACAAGCCATCATATATTATTTCCTGTAGTCTAAATAAAAACCTATAAAACAAAATTGAAATCTGATCCAGTTCTGGATGATAGGATTATGAAGTAGGGATAAGTATTACCGAAGTGTAAAAATTCATTTTCACCAAAATTTTTCAATTTTGAAATTAATTCCTAAATATGAATACTAATTAGGGACGATATTGTGTATGGAGCAGTTATGATCAAAGTGTTTTAAATTTCAAAGAACAAGATGTACCAATTGCTTTGATATTTACTATTGATCATAATTTAACACCAATAAAGGTAAAATCATATATTTCGCCAAGCTTTAACTGATTTAATAAAACAATAAAAATTGCCCAGGAAAATAAAAAATGCAATTTAGCTAATCTTTTTGATAAAACAGTTAATTAGATATTCGGTTTTAATTTTTTTAATCTTCAAATAATGTATGTTAATAAAAAAAGTGTTTCTGATATTTAATAAAAAATTCAAACTAAAATGACATTTTTAGATTAGAAAAAAAATACAACAAAAGCAAATCGTATATCATTTTGCTCATCGTGTTTAGCATATCTTAATTCACTGATATCATTCCCCAGTAATTTAAACATGTGATTCTTTGATATTTCCCCTAAATTGAATATAATTTGAATATAAAATTTCATATACATATTACCATCTTTTTACAAATTAATGAAATTTAAATTTGTAATTAAATGTTTTTGACGAATTAAAATATTTGCAAAAGATGAAATCATCTGTTCTGTTCCACATTTAACAGTTATTAATTTGAAGTTGAAACAAGTATTGGATACATATCATGCTGTAGCTTGCTTACTACCAAATGATTCAAATTATTTATACGCGGCTGTTTTACACTTACCCAAAAATCCAAAATTATATTTTGGGAAAATTTCAAACACACAAAAATTGCATCAAAGTCTTGAGGATGCTGGTGAAGCTATCAGAGGTAATTAATTGATTTATATAAATTCCAAAACAAAAAAAGTTTCGTTTCTTTGCTACTAAAAAGTTTTACTTTCCTGCTGAAAATATCAAAGGTAATATGCAGTAGAAACCGTTAGCATTAAATGATTTTCATGAAATCATATTTTGCCGAGACAGATTATTTTAAGTTAATATCTTAGCTTATGTTTGAACGCGACATTCTTCAAATTTGTCATTAACAGCACATTGCTTTAGCAACCCTTGATAACCATTTGAAGTAATACTTACCTTAATGAATTGACCTTTATCATATTTCCTCTGTCAGTTTTATATTTTAAGCATCTCTATCATATTTTTAACCCTTATCAGTTGACTTCTATTATATTTTCTAACTCATATCGATCTGTTACTTTTAAAACCTTACGTTATAAGAGATGACGTTTAAATGATCCGAAAGGAGAAAGCATTATTTAAAGATGATAGAAAAATACGAAATGATTCGTGCAATCTCATACGGCAAACAATCAATGTAATAAACAATTGGCTAAAAAAAGCATTTTTTTTTGAAAAAGTTATCAAACATATTATATTAATTAATGACCGCGCCGATCGATGCATTATATCAAAATATTTGCATGAAATTTATCATAAAGGTTATGCTCCGAAAATTTTTATATTAATTTTTTAACTAAATTTAAATGACAGACTTTCAAAATTTAATTTTTTATTTTAATTTTGCAATTCTAATTAATCGATTTTTGATAATAGTTTTTTCTGCAACTAACAGGAGAAATTAATTTAAACATCAAATTATTATTAAGAATACGCATTTTATCAAATATTTACAATATTCACAGGCCATAATCCACATCGTTGGCTTGTTGATAGGATAATTTTGAATGCAACAAAAATTATTCATTCGCAGTATCGATTGGAACGACGAAATAATATAGCGGAACAGTTGAAAGATAATAAAAATCGAAATATTTTTGATGGAACTCGTTTATTACTATCTAATCAATTTAATGAAACACAAAATGGCAAGTTTATTTGAAGATTTTAATTTAACTGAATTAAGATAAGAAATATGAAATCGTAATTATATCAAATGTATACATGCTAATGCAATCAAAAAGAAAGAAAAAAATTAATTAATTTTAAAATTCTGAAAAATCAAAAGTAATTTTTTTTTTTAATTTTCAAAGACTTTTGTAAATAGATTGTATTGGTCTTTTTTTTTTCCTTTTGCATTACATTCATTTTTTGTCTTTCGCATAATTAAATTTAATTTTCTGTCAGCTATGAATTATCTCTATTAGTTTTTAATTTTTTCAACAATTTTGTATTATAGAATTTCTCAACAAAACGATAATCAAAGAGTCGCTAATAGAATTTTTACGGGAAATAATATTTGAATCAGTTATCGCTGATGCGATATTTGGTATGGATTTAGCAGATAATTGGATCAAATATGATTTTGAAGATTTTAAAAAGCGCTCACAGCAATTAATAACATATGAAAGGTAATATATTGTTTTTTTTTTCTTTTAAATTTTAATTTTGGCAAAATTTTAACTTGTAAAAATGTTCAGTAGTGCTTTTTTCATGAATGAAAATATCGGTTGAATAAAAATTAAAAATAGAAAATGAATTAAATAAAAATGCTTGGTGGAACTTATTATCAAAAAAATGTATACATAGATTTTATCTTTATACAATATTCGAATATCAGTGGTGATTTCTGCGTAAATTTATACTTTCAAAATACTGGAAATGTATTCATAAAATTTGAAAATATAAATTAAAGCTGGACATGGTTGCTTAACATTCTACGTGTAATGTTTTTTCTCCTTGGCGCATTTGTCGTGCTGATAACAACATGCGCATTATGTGGTTTTTCATGCATCTTATCATCAATTTTACGCGATGATTATTATCGACGAAGACAAATGCGAGAACGTGAAGAAGAATTGCGCATTATAGAGGAACGTCTTCATGAGGCCGAAATTGTAAATAAATTTATTAATGATGAACATTAATTTTGAACGGGGAAATAAATTTCAAAAAGATTTTTGAAC